AATTTATAATATATACTTTATAATGGCTCAATTATTATTCAATTATTTACAAATAATTTAAATTTAAATAATTATTAAAAATAATTTATAATATACATTTTATAATGACTCAATTATTATTCGATTATTTCAAATTTGCTTTTGACAAGGTTCGACTACTTCAATTCAACTTATTGCGAGTCTTAACTTAATTAAAGCTGAAATCATTTCTCTAGCAATTTTAATAATATTATGCATATAAATATCATTAAGATTGCGAAGCAAGAGAGCTGTACTCAATGTTCATACATGCTAAATCCCTTCTAGACCTACGCCAACAGCCCAGCAGTAAATTACTGTGATAAATTAAAGATTTCTACTTTTTAGCTGATTCATTTTGGTTCTATTTATAGCTTAATTTGATTAGGGAAAACCAAAAATAGCTGTAAATAGAACAACAAAAATAGCCGAAGAGCGATGTAATCTGTGGCTGCTGCAAATAAATTTAATCTGAAATTTTAGAGTAATAATTGGGGTAACATAATTTAATCATAAATCACTTTAGGCTTAAAGGTTTTTAATGGGCCTTAATCTAAAACTGGACTGACAAATGATTATGACTGAGTATTTATTGCAGCCCTAAAGAAACTAAACAGAAACTTTTACTAGGGCAAGAAACGCTTAACAATTGTGCAAGTGATTTTAGGTGAAGGAAAGTCGAAATTAGTCTAAGAGAATAGATTGAAGAAATCAATTTTTGTATTTGATAAGATATTAAAGAGACGAACAGAGAGAGATGTGGGTAGAGGCGGAGTTAGAGAGAACAATAGAGATTAGGAGAGTGTTAGAGCTTAGAGAACGGTCGAGGTATAGCAACTGATAGAGGTAGAGATAGAGGCAGGTATAGAGATAGAGTTAGAGAGAGAACTATTAACAGAGTGAGAACAGCTTGTCCAGTCAGTGGAGTTAAAAATATTGATCTTAGTCTAGTTGTACTAGTATCGACTAGGTATACTATAATATATATTTTGATAAGAGATTTTGGGAGAGAGCCATAAAGAGAGGCGCTAACGTAGAAAAGTGAGAGTGAGATTAGACTTCGGCGTATCGTCTTATTAAAGTTTTAATATAGTAATATTTTGATAATAGACTTAAGAGAGTGAAAGAAGTAGGAGCTACGATCTGATTCCACCTCTACTTAAGCCCTACAATGCTCTGCTCTAAGGGCTGTGCTGAGACGCTACGCTCACGTCAACTTTGTTAACGAGAGCTTTGCCTCTTATCAGCGTCTTATCGCTGAAGTAGCAACAACAGCAACAGCAACAGCAACAATTGAGTGAGCGATTGGCAACCCTTTTTTCAGTATTGGGGCCGGAGAGATTTGCCAACTGGAATCAGTTAGCTTTCAACTGGCGACGGCAGTAGAACTAACCAAGTGATTTACTCTAGCTAGATTCGTTATATAGGCACATATATATGTAAATAAATATACATATTTGAATCTAGCTCCACATATAGTTGTATATTTATAAATATATATAACTAATTGACATTTGGTTCTCTTTTTGCTTTGTTGTTCCCCCAGAATGGATAGCTTCTGGGTGCAGAGCGCACTGGGCGCCATCAAGGCGCTGGCGTTCGTCTATGATATAATAACGCTGCCGGTCTATTTGGTAATGCAGGCGCCATGGAAACGTCGACAGGACTCGCGGCGTGTCAAGGTAAGTCGAGTGTGAATATGAATGTGAATATGAATACGAATACGAATACTTGGACTCCAATCCAGTCCAAAGCTGACAGTCGAAAGGTTTATTTCATACAGTGGCAACAAAACCAGCTTAAGTATTTTTTTTAGTATGTGTTTTTATTACTATTTGTTTCAGCTTTAAGTTTCTCCATCGCATGCTACCTCTACCAATTAGTTTTAAGTATGACTGTATGTGTGCAACTTAGATGTAGAAGTCTTTTAGCTCTATTATTTAACAAATTGCACAGCCTCTCTCGGTGTTTCAATTAGTTTATTCGTCATGCAAAACTCATTTTAGCTTTAGCTTTTCATATTGCTTTGCTTTAGCTTTAGATCCAAATTGGTTTAGCTAATTGTAGAGTTTGTCAATATATAGTATATATATTGAATTAGTTTTAGTTTTTAGTAGCWGTAGTAGGGTTATAGTGAGTAGAT